ATATATATATAATATAATGCTTGTTGAGGAAGATACAGACATAAAGAAGACTTACAGTCCTTATACACTTAGAATACGCGATATCTACAGCTATGATAAATTGGAAATTCGCGATAGGTGAGGAAGATCATGACAAATTACCATGAGCATCTGTTCCATGGCGGGGAAGCAACGAAAAAAAAAAAAAGAGCGTTTCAAGGCGATTCACTCCCATAGGACCTCGAGAGAGCAGCTGAAATAAAGCCTATCATTTAAGCAGATACTAGAAGATACGAATATTAAGACCGTGGCATTCACAAATACTGTAATGGATTTAGTGTAGTTTTTTCTCTGTATGCTCCATTTGTCACCACTGTATCGGATCGATGAGGGTTTTAATAAGTGGGATGTGAGAATGTATCGGCTTTGACAGTTTTGAATGCAGTTTCTGCTTTTGATCGATTTTTATTTCGGTTTTTCGGTTTTGAATGATTTTTTCTACGGTTTTGCGGTTTCTCATAGGCTCCAATGTCCCCCTCCTTGAGTGCTTAGCAAAACCTCCCAAGTGCACCATAACTCAATAGTGAACACTGTGGCGTTTACCGTTTGTTTTATAGCATCACATTGATACATTGCATCAAAGAGTTTTCTTCTATTTAACAAATCTTATGCGACCAGACAAAGCAAGCAAGCGCGGAAAACTAGTCTTTGCAATTGCTCTCGTCAGTAGTGTACACCCATGGGCAAATGGTGGACACTGAATGGACCAATCAGAGCGCGCGCTTTACTTTGGTTACGTTATGATTAAAAATGACAACCTAATTTCCAGCCCCTGTAGAGCTACAAATACGTGAAATTTAAAATTGAACACCTTTTTCGTCAAGCGAACAGCATTATTGTAAGAAACAGACAACTTTTTTGAGAGACATGTGGATCATTATCAAATGCTTCAAAATATGCGAGTTTTTATCGCTTTCCATGTGCTCCTTTATCCTAGTAGAGAAGTGGCGACTAGTTTCGCCAATATAACGGGAAGAGCTCGGGAGTTTCGATCTTAACAACAAGTTTCTCATTTCCTTTGATGTTGAAAGTCTTTTCACCAATATTCCGTTAAATGAAACTATCAATATTGCTGTTGATCTTATTTTCAAGCATAACCCTAAATTTTTGATAAAAAATCCGACCTCAAGAAACTGTTTTCATTCGCTACAGCTGAGACTCATTTTCTTTTTAATGGAAAATTTTATGA